GTGTTCTCTTTACTGCTTATGTTTAACGTTTGGCGATTTAAAACGCACACAAAGTAATTATTTTTTTTATAATGTTTACTACAACAGATGCGACGCAGATCCTGATGTCTTGGCTGAATATGTTATTGCTCTTTTAAAGCACGACAAGTCTAACCAAGATCTAAGGCAGTTGTGTGTAGATCAACTCGACGATTTTCTTAAAGAAGGTACTGTTAAGTTTTTTATAACAGTAATAGGCTCTAAATCGTAACAATTTTTTGCTGCGGTTTAGTATAATATTATCTCATTTCATAATAAATTTTAAAATTGAAATTATTACTGTTAATTCAAAAATGATTTAATTCACTATTTTACCTTATAGAAACGGAGCCATTTGTTGAAAAGTTGTTTGAATCTTTGGTTACCAAAGAATATCTTGGTGAGACAAGCGCGTTATCTACACTTAATATAAAACAGGAATCACCAATTACAAATACGCATCCAACCAGCAATTCATCGATAGAAAATAAATCCAATTTATCTCAAGATTATCCTACAGAAAAAGTTGAAAATCAAAATTCTAAAATAGGAGTTCGAAAACGAGAAGAAAGTGAAGGGTCAGATGACGATGATGATCGTAATTATAAGCATAGAGAAAGAGGTGGTGATAATAGTCGAGATGATTATCGACGGCACAGTGACCGGCCAACTACCAACCGTGACGATGATAGGGATTCTAAAAACAAGCGATTTCGTGGTGAAGGTATTCCTACCGGACCCGCTGCAGGAGCAGCTCAGTATAATAATAATTATCAAGATGATCGAGCCTTTAAACGACGGCGTGATGAGAATGAAGAAGATTTTCGGTCAAATAAAATTCCTCGTAATAATTTGTTAGTAGGAGCGGGACAAAGTCTGCCTGGAACTGGTAATGGATACATTACTGGAAATGGTACGGGTGTGGGAAGTGTTCGACGTCCAGACTTCGATAGAGACAACCGTCTAAATAGGAATTTTATGCCAATAACGTCGAATCCCCCGGTTCCCAATATAGGTTCTACACGATGGGGAAGCGAATGGGGCACCAACGGGATGAACGTTCCGGTAAACGATCGGTTTGACGACCGAAGAATGCGAAGCGGCAGAATGAACGACCGAAGCGGTGGTCGAGGTAATTCTATTGGTGTAAATCGCGGTGGCTATTCAGATTCTAGACCCGGAAGGCGACAGCGTTGTCGTGATTATGATGGTAAGCAAATAAATTCTATAATTTATTTATAAAAAAGATTATTTATATACCTATTATATCCTTTCAATTTTAAGAAAAGGGATACTGTATGCGAGGTGACCTATGCCCATTCGATCACGGTGTTGACAGAATAGTAGTCGATGATGTTCCATTGAATCGGCCATTTGATATCATATCCCCTATGGCTGGTACTCCATTGACCGGACCTGTAGGTATGATGGGGGGCGGTGTTGGTTCTAGACCACCATTTTTTATGGGTGCTGCTGGAGTGCGTAATCAGTTCGAACTCGATACTGGTTTTTGTAAGTTTATTATTCGAGACATTTTTTATTTATTTATTTATATGTATATTTATTATAATACGTGATATTATTAATTAAGTTTTTTTTATTATTTTTTTTTAACCTTATTCTTCAAATTCATTTGCAAAAGCTCAAACATCTAGGGCGATGACCCCTACAGCAGATGCTTATGATCCTGAACGAGCTACTTTATCACGTCCCGAAGAATTGCTTTCACCAACTTTGATCGAATCAAAAGAGAATGAAATTCAACCCTCTTCCGAAATTCCGACCTCTGATACGACCATTCCTCTGACATCACAAAATATTCCACATTTTCTTGATTCAAATACATCTCAACTTGCACGTGGAGCCTCATTTAGGGGGCGGGGTCGTGCTCGTGGTCGTGCCGGTTTCAACGGCAGTAACAGATTTAATAGTCAAACGAACAAAAATGCGACGTTAGTTGTAGAGAATATACCAAATGAATTCTGTAATCTTGATAAAATTAACGAATTCTTTAAAAAATTTGGTACCATCACTAACATTAATGTCGACATTGCCCATCACAAAGCCATCATTCAATTCAGTAACAATTCTGATGCACATAAAGCTTATAATTCTCCAGAACCAATTTTTGACAATCGGTTTGTCAAAGTATATTGGTATAAAGAGAAAGAAGAACAACCAAGTTCGAACACTACAACACAAAAGCAAGTTGTTGCACCACCGAAACCTGAAACTCCAGCAACTGTTCCTGAGAATCCTGCACAATCTTCAGCAGAAAAAGCGAAAGAAGTGGAAGAAAAAACTAAAAAACAGAAGGAAAGTCTCAAAGCAATGCTCGAAATTCAAAAACAAAGAGAACAGTTAATTAACCGCCAAATTGAAGAGCAAAAGAAATTAATGGAGCTTGCAAAAAAGAAAAATGTGAATGCTAAAAATCGCGAAGAAGTTTTCAAAACTCTAAACAAAGTTGGTGAAGACATTAAAAATGATACAACTGTAAGCGTTCGCAAACCTATTTTGACGGGTGTAGTTCCTTCAAAAAATTTATTAGAAGAAAAGGAGCGTGAACAGTTGGATAGAGAACTTGATATGTTAAGCAAGATCAACGAAACAGGCGTTGCGAATGAATCATCTTCGACGACTTCCACATCAACTGCTGTTCAGGCTAATTCAGAAACAGGAAATTCCGAGGTATGAATAGTTGCGTTTCATAAATTTAATTGTTTTAATATTTTACTTTAATCAAAGTTTCGTCTATTCATAGACAAATGCTTCGGCACCCACAAGCTCTAATGAATCTGTTTCATATCGTGGTCGAGGGCGTGCATCCCTTTATCGCGGCAGGGCTCGCGCCGCTTGGCCACGAGTCCGTGGTGGTGGCGTTTTGCGCTCTTTTAAACTTGATAACCGCACCACAAAATTACAACTTAAAGAAGTTCCAGCAGGTTCTAATGATACTATCCGTAATTATTTCCAGGTTAGTCATATGTATAAGATAATTATCGTATCTTTCAACTTTATTGCTAATTAACATTTTATTTCATTATCAGCAATTTGGTGAAATTGAATCTATTACATTTGCTGATGAAGCGCGGTCAGCTATTGTTCATTTTAAAACCAGATATGATGCCGAGCAGGTATTAAATAACGGTTATCTTGTTGCATCAATTTGAAATTTTGAATTTGATGTTTATTACCTATCACCTTTTTATTAATAGGCACTTGTAAAAGGCCCTAATATTCCAAATGTTGGAACTGTGCAAATTTCATGGCTTACGGAAGCAAATTCTGTTTCTCGCCCATCTTCTGAGGATACTTCTAACACTACAACCAATCCGAGTTCTAATACAGTTGACGCCCCAGATATTCAAACAATCGGAAATGAATCGCTTGCAAATGTGTCAAATTTCGAGGACGATGAAGATGATGAACGAGAACGTTCATGGAAACGTTAATAAATATATATTATTATTATTATTTTCTTGCAGAACATATTCCATTCCTGTTAAAATTTAAAAATGAAAAAAATGTATTGCGTAATCTTTATATAGTTTGGTTAAAAAACAAAGGATTTAGGTGTTATAATTACTTTTTATGTTCATATTTCTAGTGTTATTATTACCTTTTTTTTTTTTTTTTTTTTTTTGATTTGTATATACTGTCAACTTTTTTTTTGTAATTTGAGCTCGTAAAATACAGCAAATTGTCTGCCGAAAGTGCTAATTAACATGTATAAAGTAAAAGGATAATCACTTTAATATATTATTAACAAATTTCATAGGTAGCACTGCGGAATGTAAGCCATTTACTCAATTATGTATTGAATTATACATGTATTTTACTAAAAGTATTTATAAATATAATTACAAATGTTATAAAAAAATAAAAGTTTTTGTTTATTAGACGTTTGTAAGAGTTTAAAACATAAGTAATTAATGATTATTTTTATTTACTGTATTATACGTACTGGATTAATTTGGGTGTTGCTATTTATTTTTTTGCTACGTATGTTATACGTATTGCATTTTTATTATATAATTTTGTAATCGTGTTATACTGTATATAGTAAATACGTACAATGTAATTGTGTTATACTGTATATATATAGTAAATATATATATACAATATTATTAGTTATATTTTTACAGATTATTTAGATATCGTATAATATAATGAAATAATCTATTTGTAACAACCCGTTACATAACAACCTGTTAATTTTAGGGTTAGGGTTAGTGTTAGTGTTAGGGTTAGAGTTAGTTTAGATTTAAAATTAATGTCAAGATTAATACAAAATTGCGAGAGGGTTATATTTCATTAGCAGCACAAAAGAGATTATATTAGTAAAATTTTGTGTTATAGAGAATTTAAGTATAGGTTGTTAAGTAACACGTTGTTACAAATAGACTTATCCTTATATAATAATAATATATTATAATATATAATATACAGTATATATATATATATATAATATATAGTCAAATTTTGATATAATTATCATATGAGGGTGAGTCAATAGAAAAGAGACAAATCATTTTTAGTAATTTTTTTTAAATTTTTAAATTAAAATATCTCAACAACTATTTAATCAAAATTGTTAAAAATTTTTTTATTTTAATCTTGAAATTATATAGAATTAAAATAAAAAAAAAATTATTAAATTTAATAAGATAATTGCTAAGATATTTAAGCTTAAATTCAAGAAAACTTTTACTTGAAAAAAATTTGTCTCTTTTCTATTGACTCCCCCCATATTTTGTTTAATTTAAACTTATATTTGGTTTAAAATAGATGGATTTGTATTATAAATAAACCTAATATAGGTTTAAAATATACTACGTTAGGTTGAAAATAGACCTGTATTGGATTTAAAATAGACCAGATTGGGTTAAAAATAAGCTAATAAGCTTAGTTGTGTTTAAAATAAACCTATGTTGGGTTGAAATAAACTAGGTTGGGTTAAATATAATTCTAAATTTAGTTTAAAAATCTATAGCTAGTTCAAATAAGCCTAGAAAATCCTTAAAATATACAAAAAAAATTGATTTTCTGCTTGAAGTCGCTTTAAGTTGTCAATTTCAAGTATTGTAATATTTATACCCAATTTGTCAACTTTATATAAGAGTTAACTTCAAGCACAAGTTTAACTTTAATCACAATATATGCTTGAAGTTGCCTCTTGCATGAAGTTGGCAACTTCAAGTACTTGAAGTTGTCAATTTTAAGCAGTGTAAAATTTAGACCTAATTTATTAACTTCAAGCATGACAATATAACTATTATATGATAAATATAAATAGCAAAAATTCAAGTTTTGCTAAGTATTCAATAAAATGTAATTATGGATATTCCTACTACATGATTACAATATAACTATTAAGTGTTACCAAAAATTTTCATAACAATATTACTAAAAATATTATGGTAAACTATATGGGGTCTTTGCCTTGAAAATCATTTCTGATTGGGCTAATTCAGACAAAACCAAACCCATGTATTAGTTCATGTTTATATATAAACCTTCTTTGCCTTTATTGATTCAATAGTTTATCCAATAAACTATTGAATCAATAAATATAAAGGGGATTTATATATAAACATGAACTAATACACGGGTTTGATTTCATCTGAATTAGCCCAATCAGAAATGTCGGAGGGTGATTTTCAAAGCAAAAACCCCATATACTTTGTAATATTATATATCACTTCATTCCTAGTAAATTAAAAAAATAAATAATGAAATTGTTATTTTCAATCAATAAACTATTATAAATGAAAGGAATAGACTATACTTTGAGCCTTTAATTTTATAATTTATTTTACTATATGGGTCTTTGTCTTGAAAATAACCTTATGGAGCTATATAAATTTTATGAATAAAAATTAAAATTTTTAGCTATTTAGTTAATCCAGTTTAAATAATTTTTTTTATTTCATAGAGCTTAGTTGAGTTCTATAATATATATATATATATATATAAAAAAAAAAAAATTATTTAAATTAGATTATTATATAGCTAGAAATTTTAATTTTTATTTATAAAATCTACATAGTGTTACTATTTTGGGAGAGCAATTGCAGAGAAGCAATTCAATTTAGCTTCAATAGTAAATGTGAAGGGTTATAAATATCATTCGTTAAGGCTTAAGTGTGAGTTAAGATCATGATTTTGGTAGACAAGAATCAGGTCCTTACTAAATCAATCCCGATTTGAATTATGCACATAATTTAAAGATAACTTAAAGGGTAATATAAGTATGGCATTGGATTATAATATTAATGAGGTAACAATGAGTCAGATTCTATACTAAAAAAAAGATCAGATAAGTTTTAAGGCAATAATAACATTTGAGGTTAACAATAGTAGTTGGATAAGATAATAGAAAAACTAAGTAACAGGCATAAGAATAATACAAGAGTAATAATAATAATATGAAATAAATAAATAAATAAAATAAATCATTCAATAAACAGTTTTTCATAAATATGAGAAGTTGATTCTTATCTCTACTTTATCAAAGACATCAAAGTCCGAGGAAACTTTATTAATAGAAAATTGAGGTCTTTAAATACATTTTCCTATCCTATAAATTACTGCGCAAAGACTTTTTCTTTCTTTTGAACCTTAGTAAGACTTTTCCAGCAATGCTTCACGGGTTGTAACAACCCATGTTGAAAAGCCTTCTCTAAACATTACACATAATTATCATTTTAAATATTTGCTATAATTATTGTCCTAAATATTTACTACAATTTTTGTCTCAAATATTTACTACAATTACCAGTCCCTCAATTAACGAATGATTCCTTATTACAAAAATAAACAAAAGATAAAAAAAAATAAATAAATAAAATAGACTCCTATGCTCTTCTGAATTTCATGTCACAGAACCTGTGACAATAGTCATAAAGTCATTTTCAAGACAGACTCCATATTACTTTTAAAAACCTGATAATATAATAGTAATACTATTACATTTAATTAGAGTTTCAATTTGGTTAGCATTTATCTGGATAATTATCATATATCTTGATCAGAATTTGTTTAGATATCTATTTATTTTCTATTTATTATTAATATTTGGATAATTATCTAAATATCTGTTAGATTATCTGGATATCAATAGTAAATAAATATCTGAATAAATTCAGATATGGATAAATAGATATTCAGATTGAAACTCTATATATAATATGTATCTGATCTAATTTTCATGAGCTGCATTTGGTAAATAATATAAAAGCTCATAGTTTTATTTTCATGATAGTGCTAAAATAATTCTTTTTTTCTCAGTATGTTATATATTTTTTTTATTTATTTATTTTATTTTTTATTCTAATTAGCTATTCAATTTTACATATTGTGATAAGAAGTTCTAATTATTAATTGTGAATTGTTAACGAAAAAATAAATTTTAAATATCGCTAGTTGCAAATTGATGTAATATTTGATCAAATTTTGTAGATCGTAATTGATTGTACATAAATGTATGTAATTGTATATGAATTTTTTAAAAACTATCTAATCCAATTCGATGAATTTTTTTTATTTGAATTCTATAGATTCATTAATCCAAATAAAAAAGAAAATTCATCACATTTGATCAGTTAGTTGCTGAGATATCATCACTCAAAGTTTTTTTTTAAAAAATATCAAAAAAATATTTATCAAAAATAGAAGCTGTGCCAAAATTTTTCTAAAACTTTGAACAAAAATATTTTAGCAACCATTTAATAAAATTTTATTAAACATTTTTTATTTGAATTTCATAAATATATAGAATTCAAATAAGAGAAAATTTATCAATTTTATCAGGTGGTTCCTGAGATATCTTCACTTAAAGTTTTTTTTTTAAAAAAAACCAAATTCACATATAAGAAAATAAAGAAAAAATGTAGTAACTTCATGAGTTCTCATTCATTTGAGCTAAGATTTTACAGAACAAAGTATTAATATATTTTCTAAAAGTCATGTTATTACGCAGTAATCATTGATGACTAAACTTTTCAAAATCAAGATTGCTACCATGAATTTTCATCATATCAAATACATATGACTACATTCGATTTTGTCTCATGTAATATTTGCAAATACAACCAATGACAAATTTTTTTTATAAAGAACAATGTGCACACATATATACGTAAGTACTGATTTAACTCCCAGTTTAAAAAAATCAAAATTTGATATTAATTTATAACATTTTAAAAAATATTATTTACACTGAAATTAATATTATTAACAACTTGATATCATAGTAAACATAACTTCGTAATATTTACTAATGCTCATGATGTTCATACTATTACATATTACAGTAATATATACGGTATTCACTTCTTTATATCTAAATTTTACCATGCTTAAATTTGGCTCATTCGCTTCGCTATACTGTATATATTTGCTTATATGTATTCACAAGTTCTAATTAAATTAACACCGTAATCATGAATGACCTAAATGTTTAAATAAAATAAAGTTTTATTGTAAGTGCCAAAAGACAAAATAAAACTTGATATAAAATTTTTATTTTATTTTAACATGTTAACAATTTAAACATTTAAATATTGACTTGCCCTTTGCTCATTTCTGCGAAAAACTGATTTAACACTGATTTAAAATTGCTCAAAACTGCGATTTCAAAAAGTTTCTTTAAAACGATTGGTCTAAAAAAATTTTGTGATTTTTAAATGATAATTTGATCATCTGATTGATTTTTAGCACAAGACGAATTTATTTGATTGGTGGATCTTATTTGAAAACAAATGATCGTTAATGGTCCAGGAAATGCATGTCCGAAGCTAAATAATCGATTGATTGAATTATCAATAAGCTCATGATTGACAACCAATCAGAGATGCGAAAACGAACAGTGTGAAAGTGGTGACTAAATGTTCTAATCTAAAACTAACTAAATCACTAATCTAAGCACTCTAAATAATATATTCTGCAACTTCAAGACTCTAAAACCTTGAGTGGTAGGCTTTGAATAGAGGCGTGGAAAGATTTGGTCTGAGTATCAAGGTCTTTTGGGTCTTGGAGTAATGTTGCCGGGTTTAAGATAAGTATTATTAGTCTTGTTATACTCCAGTTGTTTGTTTTGCTTTAATAGTTCCGATATTAATGTCTCTTGTTCCTTTAATTGTGAAGGTTCTATCAGCTTCGGGGTCACGTATGATATAATAGAGATAACTGGCTTGATCGGTGTTTTAATATTCAAGTTTGATCGTTAAGATTCTTAATGATGTCATGTGTTATGTGATCATGATTTCAGTGGTGATCGGTGATAGGGCTAGTGCCAATTTGCAATAGCATAATATGCGCATAAATTGAATTTAGCATATGCGATAGCATATTGGCAGATCAGAGCTAATTTCGCATAATTAATAGAGCATAATCTGTGCATAAAATTGTATAGTTAACGTGGTTTAGAACTATGAACAAAAATAGATAAGTAATTAAAGTAGTTAAATATGAAAGAACAGGTAAAACCTGCTATATAGATTAGATAAACTGTTTAATTATTTTCTTTCATATAAAGATACTAGTCACAAGTTAGACTTCATCCTAAAAAAAGAAATATAAGCGTGAAAATTTGAAATTATATGTGGTAAATTCATGAGAGAACAATAAAACAAAAGTTAGTAATTGAATAGAATAAAGAAAAAATTATATAAGTATACTCATTGTCAAGTAAAACCTCATGTTATTCACATTGTAAAATAGATAAAATAAAGGCAAATTTATATATTTCTTATTTATTATAATATAAAAAGATACTTTTTTTTGTTTTTTTTTGTTTTTTTTTTATAAATTTTAATGATGGTTTCTCCTGATGAGTGTAGACTTGAAAATGCAGAATATAAAAAAAATTTTTATGTGGATGGCCAAAAACTGGTTTGTACATTTTGTCAACATGTTGTAGACCACACAAAAAAATCTACATTAACTCACATTTAAAATCTGATAAACATAAAGGTAATATTATTAAAACAGAAAAATTAAAATTGACTCACCAAACAACTCCTGATACAGCTAGTATTAGTTCAAATAAATGAGAGCTTATAAATATAGCTTTAGTAAATGCATTTACTAAAGCTGATATTCCTTTATATAAAGTTGATAAGCTTAAAGATTTTTTTTTAGAAAATTGTAGAAATGGTAATTATGCACATTTTATCCTGTCAAAATTTTATTATTATTTTTTTTTATAGTGCATGTATTAATATGCATGATTCGAAAATGCATAAAATGTGCATTTATAT